CCGAATTTATGGAGATTATTGACCCACGATGGCTCCAGGCTGCACAGGTTAGGTAACTTCGTTGAGTTTTTTAATTTTTTCAATTTATATATAATTTTTTGCGATGTTTCCAGGCCGCACAGGTTGGGAAAATAAGTTTTTTTTATTCAATAATATAAGTATCATATATTTTACAATTACCTGATTTCCATTTTGTAGTACAACTCAGTGGTCAAACTAAAGAACTTTTATGCTGCCAGATTAAGTCAGATAAGCGTGGTAGTTTCCTTTTTTAAAGTTTACCGAATTTCAATAGACCTTTTTTTTATAAATATCAAATATTCAATAATTATTTTTACGCTATTTTAGAAAGAATCTCAAAAAATACCTTTTAGAAATCTCGAAACAAATATTGGATTATATAATAATATACAGTGAGGACAAATTCATTTAAAATTTAATGATTTGGTTTTTGAAAAAACGTTCTGACACGTCGATTTTTATTTTTGAATGCAGTTTTTTTAATAGTAAAGTTACATATACAGGATTACCCAAAAATAAGTTACGACCATTACCTTAATTTTTTACATGGAAACCCTTATTTTTTATTTTATTTTTGAATTTTGCATGAATCATAGTAAGAATTTGATGCAAAATTCAAAAATGAAATAAAAAATAAGTATTTCTATTTGAAAAAATTAAGTTGATGGTAATTACTTATTTTTGGGCCTCCCTGTATACATAAGTTTACTATCAAAAATTAAAATCGACAGGTCTAAGTGTTTTTCCAAAAAACAAACCCTTTAATTTTAAATAAATTTGTTTCAAACCACGCGTCGTCACTGTATAATAATATTTTTTTATTTTAATCTAGGTACTATTAAAACACTATAATACTTATATTTATTGCAGGTACTTTTGTGACTAATTTATTTGTAGTATTGGGTCTAATTTAGTTAATAATAACTGATCATTTAAAATACATTTGTTATGCCTAACCCCGTATACGTTTTAACTGTTTAGTCAAATGCCCTACTCATTACAAAAACAAAATTAAATTATTTTATAATTTTTGGTAAATTACATCATATCTAAAAATAAAATATATCACGCTACTTTTGGCGTTTGTTTGTCCTTCTATATTATTCAGGAATTTGAGATAATAGATGAGAAGAATTCGTATACCACATCCCAGTCTTTTTATAAGATCGTTGAAGTCAAAAAGAGAAAAGTTGTAATTAATCCATGATACTATGAGAAGAAGATATGATATTATGCTGATTGATACTACATCAAGGCGACATATTGTGGTGAAAATTGTGAATTTTACGAATTTTAGATATTATTATCGGCTGATTGAAAGCAGCGCGCAAAAATAAATTGCAATCAGCCATATTCCACACCACAATACGTCATGCGCGAACTCTACGAGATTTCGTCGTCTAAGTATCATCCTCTGTAATTTTGTGTAATATGTCTCAAAATTGGCAACGCAAAATATGATTACATCATTCAACGACAGTATCATAGAATACGGATCAATCAAAGCGGGATAGTAGCAAAACTCACTCAGTAAGTTTTTAAAATATTGATTCTACAAGATCTTTTTGAGTTTCAACCAGTACAGACCGAAATACTTTGAAAAGTATCATTTTATATATTTGTATAGAATATGGGGAATGAGTCATTAATTTGGGTGTTGTTACTGGTCAAAACTTCGACAGTTTGAGCTGTATGTTATTTCTTCTGATTTCAGCGATGATTTTCGGGAAACAAAGTATAGCAATCAGCATTAACTGCTCTTTTATCCTCTAATGCAGATGTTGCAACGTGGTTAAATAAAATAGGTGTCTAATGAAATAATTGCTTTGTTTTATATTTTGATATAAAATTACAACTTGCATGAAATTTTTTATTTAGTATTTATATGATAATAGTTTTATATTTCGAAAAGCAACAATAGTTACTTTTGTTTTATTAGAATAATAGATAAATTCTGCTTTAAATTTGAAAATGTATACTCGTATACAAATTTTTATTGGTTTCGAAAGTTAAGCAGTAAAAATATTTACAAATTTAGTAAATAAAACTGCACTGCATTTTTGTAAAAACGAATTTTCCTCACCTTTATTATATCATAAATTTTCCATAATGACTTAATGAAAAATATAGTGCACCTCAGTGACTACATTTCCATCCAAAGTTTTATTAAGTGTTAAAAGTTTTTTGATTAAAAACTCAGTTAATAAACTGAGAATAATAACTTTACGTTTCATAAAAAATAACCGACTATATTATCAAATATTAATACAATCTTTACTGTCTTTGAATACTTAAATTTAATAATTAAATTTTGACTTGGATGAAATATCGTTTATTATACCAGTGTGAAGTTAGCAGTAACTTTTAGTAGTAAAAATAACCGAAAACACCCGATCGGGAAAACAGTGGCATCCGACATACAACTATTGTAATAATCTTGTCAATATGTATTTTACACATTAATATCGACAACTAATTAATATACGGTTGAAAATATAACCCTTAACATTTATAAAAATATTTAACCTACGAAGGAAATCAAATCCCAATTTAATTTTACATTAAAAAAAAATCATAAATACACTAACATACGCTATAGGAAAACATTTCTTCGGGTCCGTTGAACAGGGTAAAATTAACCCATAAAATTCATAAAATAATTATCCTATGAAGTGTATTGAACAGGGTGAATTTAACCCTTTATCTTCAAATTAAATATTAATGCTATGAAGTCGATCAGATCCCAACTTGGTTTTACATTTTTAAAATTATAAATAAACTTACTAAAATACGCTACAAGAGGCAATCCCTTTGGACAGTCAAACAGGGTGAAATTAACCCTTAAACTTTAAAATAAATAATTACTTAATGAAGACGATTAAATCCCAACTTAATTTTAACTTTAAAAAATCAATAATACACTCACCAATGTACACTGTAAGGATGAATCCCTTCCTACCCGTCAAACAGGGTGAAATTAACCCTTAAACTTCAAAATAAATAATTACCCTATGAAGACGATTAAATCCCAACTTGTTTTTAAATTTAAAAAATTATAGATACACACACTGTTGGGATCTGATCTTCTTCATTGGGTTTAAGGGTTAATTTCACCCTGTTTGACGGTTCGGAAGGGATTTTCGCTAACAGTGTACTTTGGTTAGTGTTTTTATGATTTTTTAAATTTAAAATCAGGTTGGGATTCAATCGTCTTCATTAAGTAATTATTTATTTTAAAGTTTAAGGGTTAATTTCACTCTGTTTGACGGGTTTGATGGGATTGTCTCTTGTAGCGTATTTTAGTAAGTGTATTTAGGATTTTAAAAATCTGATGTGTCCAACACATGACTTTCCTATCTAGTTATTTTTTTCGGTTATTTTGTACAACCTATTGCAGCACCTCTATAAATGTTTAGAGGATATATACATTTTCCACATACATCTACCTAGAAACATTTTTCTATAGATATTCATTGAAAACGAAAATACTGAAAAATTTAAATTTAGCACTTTTCCTACAATTTTTCCATTACGGTCCATTTTTGAAAAATCATGTATAAACAAAAATTATAGAGATCGATATCGCAAACAACTTTTAGTTCAATAATTTTCATAAATATTAGAATTTTGCACATTTTGTCAAATTTCTCGAATACAGACCATTTCAGGAAATTTTGACATAGAACAAAAATTATAGATAATAATATTTAGAAGTAACTTTTATTTGAACAATTTTCTTCTACAAACATAAATAACAGATATATTCCATAAAATATAAAAATGGCCTCCCATAAAGTACCCCCAGATGTTCCGACTTTGTCCAAAATCTAATAATTTCACGTCAGGCCGAAATAAAACTTAAGTTTAAAATTTAATATTTTTTTCCTTATCCGTTTTTGAGTTCTCTTTAAAATTCGAAATTTACACATTTTCTCAAATATCTCGAATACAGTCCATTTTAGAGAAATTATGTATAGGATAAAAATTATAGAGAATTATATTGCAAACAACTTTTATTTAAACAATTTTTATAAAAATTTTTTTTTTTACATTTTGTCAAATTTCTCGAATACGGACCATTTTAGGAAAATTTTGTATAGAACAAAAATTATAGATAATAATATTAGAAGTAACTTTTATTTGAAGAATTTTCTTCTCCAAATGTAAATAACAGATACATTCCATAAAATATAAAAATGACCACTTATAAAGTACCCCCCCAGATTTTCCGACTCTGTCCAAAATAGTTGTATGCCGGACGCCATTGTTTTTCCGATCGGGTGTTTTCGGTTATTTTTACTGCTAACTTCACACCGGTGTTTATTATGCACTGTGTCTGACACTAGCTATGGAAATATTTCTTTTCTCATATTGCCAATTTCAGGTTATATTGTAAAATGTAAATTATTATTCAAGAATCAATACTGAGATAAAAACACTATAATACTCGTATAAAAAATAAATCATATAATCATACTTGATGGATTTTCTTTTTCTAAAGTTAAACATAAATTTGAAAACTAAGTTGAGCTTATTTAACGGTGGGTATAACTAAATTATCAGAAATAGATTTTCCAGTTGGAAATCTAGAATTAACCTAATGTTTTTCAAGAAAACTAAAACACTGACAAACAAAAGTATTAATAGATTTTTTCTCAAACGAGGGTAATAAATAATGTCTACAATAATTTATCAAAATGTTTATTTAATGGCTTGATTTTATTATTATAATAATATTGATTTTTTTTTCTACTTTTACTACAAAAGATGTCAGTTTTGAATTGGATAATGAATAATATTTGAAACATTGATGCCGTTTTTAAAAAGTATTGCAATCAAAGATAATCGACGGTCATAACAGAAATACGTCAGAAGATTCATAAACGGGTAAGACTACTTATTATGCACAATATTGCGCAAAAATCAGGTTTAATAACTATGTCCATTACGACAGGTATTTAAAAGTCATCGAGACTTACCTGGCAAGCACACACTTCTCCAAATCCGCCCTTTCCGAGCACCCTGTACATCCTGAAAGTCTTGTACGTGATTGGTTGGGATTCCAGCCATTTCCACTGTAGGTATCGATGAAAGTACATGCTACTGGTGAATTCCTTAAATGGTTCCCCCGCCAAACATTCCTTGACAGCTTGGACACAGGGCGCGAAAAGGTCCTTATTGTGACCGTTCGTGAGTTTGTCGCTGGTGGGGAAGACACCCATCTGGAAAGAATAGAAGAAACGAAGACATTAGGAATTCTCCAAAATGAAGATCGGAAAAATAATAGTACCTATTTATTCAGAATATTCAAAATATTAAATATAATAAATATGACAAAATGGTCAGTATGCGACGATAGTTATGAGACCAGTTAGAAAATGCCGGCATTTCGTAACGTGTTACATACAATATTTTTTCTAATTTTAAATAGATTATTTATAAAGTTGTGTTAGTTGAATATGATTACTGACATAATCATATGCATTTATTCCCAACGACTTATTGTAGTATGTTATATTGATTGATAAAGTTACTTAGATTTCTAGAAAGTGGGTTATTTTGTCGTGTATTGCGTTTTAATTATTTTGGACTGATTTAGAATGGAAAATAAGGAATAAAACAACATTATTACTAAGGTGTAAGTTTAACCACTTTTCTATTTTTATGAGTCAACCTGTCCTTATGTGACATAAACCAGGGGTCCCCAAACTATAGCCCGCCAGTGTCATCAATCCGGCCCGCGACAGCTAATGGCTGTAATTAGTTGGATAAAAACAAAACAGAATGATAATAACTCTGAATTATTTACTTGCTAGGTATAGCTTAATACTTGCCGTAGAAAATTTCACTTAAGCATAATAATTAACTAAATCCCACTAACATTATAAACTAGTGAACTTCAATCACGCGGTTTCACCCTCGGTAGTTATGTTGGGGTTAAGAGTATCGTATATGTATATCATCAGACACATTCTTGAATTTATTAAGAAAATTAATTTGATGGAGTAGAAACTGTGAGGGGTACAATAAGCTTAGAGCTTCAGTACAAGTGAGGTTTGAACCACGCCCTAATTTAGATAGATACATATCAATGTTTGGAATGTATGTTGCCTGAATCACACATGATTTTTATCCTGAAAATCCTACAGGAACGGAAAAGCTAAATTAACGCGAATGAAACCGCGAGGTGTCCACTTGTATAAAATACTAATGAGGTAGAGAGCGGAATATATGCAAAATGCATATATATGCATTTTTTGCATATTTTACCAAAGTTCAGAAAATATTGCATATTTTTCCAAAATTCAGAAAATATTGCATATTTTACCAAAGTTCAGAAAATTTAAGAAAATATTGCATATTTTCGAAAAAAAAAATGTATTACTATACTGTGCAAATCAAAAACTGTTTTAACAGATTATACAGATATATTTGAAATATAGACCTTTTAAATTTTTGTATTTGTTTTTAAGTGTCACTTCTTGTAAATTCTTGTTAATTAGTACTTGGAGGGTGGCACGCACTGGGTTTTTACCTTCTTAAGAGATTAAGCCCATTAAGGTAATTGTTAATAGATGGTATTTACACAGATAAAGTATTACCTACAATGCAATAAAACGGTTTATATAAAATTCTCAGTAATTTCTTGTAACCAATCTACCCTAACATCGGAATATTATGAATGTTTTTCATTCAATTTAATGAGATAGTAGCCTCGTTATTTACCTAGTGAAAAGTCTTGTAATAATTTGTTGTTTTAAAAGTGTCCTAAAATGTCGAGAATTTCTTCGTGGATTATTAACTTTCCAGAGTTGGAAATCAATGGGGATAAAGTTTTTTGTAAAGCTTGTGCCAAAATAGTGGTTTGCGAAAAAAAGTTCAAAGTGGTTCAACACGTGAAAACATCATTGCATAAAGCCAAATTGCAAAAAATGAAATCACAACCGGTTCAACAATGCGTTGTGAGGTCATTTCAAAACGCCGACAAAACAAAAAGTGACAAGGAGGTATTTAATCAGGACTTGTGCAAAGTTCTTGTTGCGGCAAATATTCCATTAAAGAAGTTACAAAACCTACATCTAAGAGAATTTTTACAAAAATATTGCAATCAAACCATTCCTGACGAATCTACACTCAGAAAAAAAAATGTAGATACATGCTATATATATAAATGTAATAGAAGAAATTAAAGTTTTACTGGATGATAGCAATTTTTACATCATTGTTGATGAAAGCACAGATGCTTGTGGAAGATATATGGTACATCTTATGATTGGAGCCTTAAAAGAAAATGAACCAGGTACATCATATTTAATTGCATCAAAACAGTTATAAAAAACTAACAATACAACTGTTACCCGATTTATTCAACAATCTCTAGCAGAATTTTTTTTACCAAATCAAATTCCCTCAGAGAAGTTGTTAGTGTTTTTGTCTGACGCAGCACCATATATGATAAAAGTAGGGCAAAACTTAAAAATATTTTATCCAAATATGGGCCACGTTACTTGTCTTCTGCATGGAATAAACTTAGTTGCAGAAACTGTGAGAACAGAATATCCCTTGGTTAACAAGCTAATTTCGAATGTGAAAAAAATATTTTTAAAAGCCCCTTTAAGAGTGCAGTTGTATAAAGAGAGAATGGTAGGGGTGTGTTTGCCCCCCGGAACCCGTAATTACGCGATGGGGGACATGGATTAAAGCAGCTATATTCTATGCAGAAAATTTTGAAGCAATTATGGATTTAATTTTGGATATAGAAGACAATTCACAATGTGTAGTGCAAAATAAAGAATTGTTAAAAAATCCCCTTGTGCCTAAGCAACTTGTGTTTATAAAGGTTAATTTTAGTTTTTTACCTGATGTAATAACTTCATTGGAAAAGAAAAATTTAAATTTAATCGAATCAACAAATTTTATTGCAACAGTTTCCGATAAATGTAACAATGTTCCTGGTGACATAGGCCTTAAGATTAGAAAAAAATTAAATACAACTTTATTAAAGAATGAAGGGTTCAATGAAATAAGGGAAGTGAAAAACATTTTTGAAGGAAAATTTTCCAAAGAAGTTTTACGTTGGCCCTGTACATTACTTCCAAAATTACGGTATTGTCCTATTACTTCGGTAGATGTTGAAAGGACCTTTTCTATATCAAAACATATTTTTACAGACAGAAGACAAAAATTTTTAATAGAAAATTTCGAAATATATTTAATTATAAATTCCTATTATAATATTACTATTTAATATTTTTATATTATTCTATACTTAACTTCTACTAGTTTTTGTGTTTCGTTTGTTTTAAATAAATTTTTATATTACATATTTTCTTTTGTTTTTTTTTTTTCGTGTAATGGCTTTGATAGCGTACCAAATTAGGAACAGCAATGTTAATTAGAACCCAACAGTGAATGGTCAAGTGGAAATATTCGATAGGCATCAGAATTAATTTTTAAATAAATTAATTAATTTAAAAAATCGCGTCCCGGCTGGAATTTGAACCCGGGACCCCTAAGTCCACAGGCCAACGCACTAACCACTGAGCTACCCACCCCCTACTTTTTTTAAAGTATTTTTAACAAATATGCATTTGCATATTTAGGTATAATTGGACAAAATAACTGCATATTTTTGGTAAAAACGATGCATATATATGCGCATATTTTGTTATATTTTGATGCATTTATTCCGCCCTCTACTAATGAGATTTATGTAATTGTGATTTTCTACTGACAATAGTTTGTAGTTGTGGGCCAAATTTACTTGTACCAATTATTAAAAGAGATTTAAGATGCTCATCGGTTAACTTAGAGGTGTAAACATTTTTTGTGTACTTCATTTTGGAGAATGTTTTCTAACACAAGTAAGTAGTACCAAAAACAGAAAATAGCACACGAGTAAATTTATGAAAATTATCAAATTGTACCAGTGGAAGACTCTTATAAAATTCCAACAAAGATGAGCTTTGATACTTGTTCTTAATTACATCATTGCCACTGTAAATCAATAATTTTGTATGGTGCATTTCCGATAAATTATTTGCTGTTTTGGAAATATGAAAATGAATAATCCCCAATTCCCCTACGAAATTATAAACAATACAACTCCATATCCTCAAAGTGAAAACAAACTAAAGAAAAATTGAAAAAGCTGAGAATTATAGAAAGGAAAAATCTGATGTGTCCAACTTTTTTTGACTAATTTTATTAGGTTTTTTCTGATTATTTTGTACAACCTATTAGAAGTAAATACATCCATTTTCCACACACATCTTACTCGAAACATTTTTTTAATTATATTTATTAGGGGGTGGGTTGGCTCAGTGGTTAGAGTCATGACTTTGAGATCGGAAGGTCTCAGGTTCGAATTCCACCGTTGGCCGGTATTTTTTTAATTTAATTATTTAAAATTAATTCTGATGCCGTGGTAGGATTCTCCACTCGACCATTCACTGTTGGGTTCTAATTAACAGTGCTGTTCCTAAAGTGGCGCTGGGAAACAGTAACAAATCCTACACATAACACGAGGCCAATGGCCGTAGTAGTCGACGCCGATGACACCAAATTAAAAAAAAAAATATATTTATTGCCAACGAAAATACTGTAACAAGATAAGGGGTCCGGAGACTATCGGTCTCAGAGCATTTACGGATATTCTAGACGAATTTATTAAACTAAAAAACATACATATGAACACAAAATAAGTTATACAATAATTCAGAATACAGACCAAACCAGGGACATGTAAAAAATCACAAATATCAAAATTTCCCACAGGATTTTAGTTTTGATTATTTATTGGTTGACATGGATATGATTAATTTTTAGTAACCCAGTAACTAACTAGGGAATTTTGCTACAACTGGGCACACCTTACAAACACACTAACACCTGTGGACAAACCAAAAGGAAGCACACAAAAACAATAAATCTTTCCATCAAAATTAAACCCACTAGGGGAGCGCCGGGACAGTTTGAATGGAGGCATTCGACACATTCAAAATTCTCGCCTAATTAGAAAACAGGTCAAAAGAGATATTTAAGAGCAATCCAGTCCCTTCTGACGTCACACCACACGAATCTCACGACCTCCCATTAAAGTATTTGGAACCTTGTTCGCTACATAAATTTGGCGATGTTGTGTGTCGTACGCTGAAGAGTCCGATTACAATTCAGGTATAATTCGTTGGCTATCGCCGCCTACTGGGGGTTAGTGGCTTGT